CCATCCAGCATTTACATCAAATTATTATTCCTATAGCTATGCATTAACATGGTAGTTATCCCTCTGAACAGTTTCCTACAACCAGTGACCTGGATAATCCCATTTTATTGATTAAATAAATAATAATTTTATTTCATATTTTATTTAACTTAGAGGTATGACAAATGGTTTTACAATTCTCCTCTTGACACACCACATTAAAGGGGAAATATTCAGAACACTGTCATTTCTATTACTACAGTACATTAAAAACAGCCTCCTCCTTTTATTTCTGCTCCTTAGATTGACAAGAACAGCTAAAAGCTTTCAGTGCACTTTTCTTGCTCAGAAAGTGTGGCTGTGAGCATATCTCGGCTCTCAAGAACATTAATGGTTTCTTTTTCCGGTCCGATCTATACTGACAGGTCACATTCAACAGAAAGCCATGGCAGTTAAACTGAAGCAAGCAGTGTTGGAGTAATTAATTAAAGTTTTCCCTCAGCGATACCATACAATGACACTACCTGAAAGTGTTCTTTCTTTCTTTAAATTGTTAATGTCTGCCTTGATATTTAAGTGACTCAAGAAAAGTCTGACCTAAAAGACGGTCAAATAAATCACAGGATTTTCATACATTCTTTTAAATAAACTGGGTTTTACAGTTTCGAAGAAAAACTGCACATGACATTCTGTTTGACATGTGAGTTTTACAATTGCAAACTGATTCCTAGCATAATCTTGGAAGAGCTGAATGGGCTGGATATACATTAAACAACTCAGCCTTTGTCATCAGTATTACTCTTTTTTCTCTTCTTGAAAGTTTCGACCAATAAGGCGCTTTGGGATTTGGGCTACACTGAGAAGACTCGCCTCAGCACATTAACACAATTCAAATGTTCAGTAAGCGGTAATCCTTTCGCTTGTTATAGCAAACAGGCCCAAACCTCTGTGCGGAGGACAGATTGTGAACTGGAAGGGCAGCAGTATTGAGGGATTGGGATTAAAGGGGATGTGAGGCTGTAGCTAACGTCTCACTAGCTCGCTGAGATGGCCAAAGAAGTCAGACAAACCGCTCTCTCTCCTTGTTCATTAGTGATCTCTTGTTCATTAGAGTCCTCGGCTTCCTTTCATGTCCTCTCAGGGCTCATGAGGATGAATGGACCGCATCTGAATTACACTGAGACTCAGACACTGGGCAGCTCTCTGATTGGAATGGTTGAAACAAGTTCAGTTTGGCCTATCTATCCTATATTTTTGAGTCTCTTATGCTCACCAAGTCTGCATTTATTTGATCAAAATGCAAAAAACAATGCAAAAAAAACCAAAAAAAAACTGTAATATTGGCAAATATTATTACAATTTAAATTAACTGTTTACAATTTTAATATATTTTAAAATACAATTCTGCAATGGCGATACCAATTTTTTGGCATTCAAGAAACATGTCTTATTACTATGACAGCTGAAAACGGTGGTGCTGCTTAATATTTTATACTTTTTTTTTTTGTGGAAACCTTGATCATTTTGTTTTCTTTTTTTTCAGATTACTGTATGAATAGAACGACTAAAAACTAAATAACCTCAAACCTTTGAATTTTTTTCTTTGAAGTGACTAAAGGCTGTGCTGTAGCATGAATATAGTCACAGCTAAAGGATATGCAGCCATTCAGCTGTGAATCTTGCCTAACATTGACCTTTAGTCGTGACTATTCACAAGAAAAGCATTGGTCTTTCACATGGTATTGTAGTATAACAGTCTACATCTCATTTATCGCAAGACCTGTTCATATCATAACAGACACACACACACACACACACACACAAAACCTTATCCCTGGTATGGGAACTAGCAACACTAATACCTGATTTAATAATCACAACTAACGATCTTGTAATCGATAATGGTCAGAATTTTATATCGGCACATCCTTACCAAATAGTTCATAAATTATCTCCTGAGGTGGAGCTAAAATTTTATGAATTTATCAATATGAAAATATCACACTTTGAAATTTTTGGTGATTTTCCTGCCATATTAAAACTGAATGATCTTCTCCTGCTGTTTGATTGAATCTCCTGCCAGACATCAGCAACTGACCAAATAAAATAGGACTTAACTGCCTCACTACTGCTGAGGGAATTTCCAAAGCAAACACTGTAACTGTGAGAAATAAGACAAGCACAGATGAACGTTACAGGTCTGAGATGAAGCCCACCTCGTTGACACAGAAAACTTCAGCAAATGTGATACAGACCACAGGTCAGTGCATAAGAGAAAGAAAACGGGTAGATGAAGATAACAGATGTGCAATCAGCTCACTGCAGAGCATTTTGGGGAAATAATCTGTAGAGCATGGATAATAAATATTCTGCCTGACAAGATTATGGTAAAGAGGTGCACCACTGATTTTGACTTTCAGATGTAATGTTGTATTCATGTTTTCCCGCATAATGTTTGACTTTAATGTTTACATGCTAATAATATTGGTAACTTTTTACAATAAAATTCCATTTGTTTACATTAGTTTCATTAGTTAACAATGAAAAATACAGCATTTCTTAATCTTTGTTAATGTTAATTTCAGCATTTACTAATACATTATTAAAATCTAAATTTCTATCTGTTAATATTTTTAATGCACCTGAGCTAACATAAGAACAGCTGCATTTTTATTAATTAGTTGTCAGAGTGACATCATGAGAGAAAGAATGCCATTCCAGAGTGGAAGACATTTTTCAGATTTTAATAAAAGATTTTAATGAAATTTTTCAGTGGAATAACTTTGGCACAGATGTGTGCTAACAAAGTAAATAGTGTCAATTTTGATTTCATGTGGGCTTTAACTATTGGTGCCTTATTGTAAAATGTTGTGTTCACTGTTTGGCTTATAATTTTTCTATAATTTTTGCATATAAATTGCCCTATAATCCAATACTTAAGACTGTGAGCTTTATTTGGTTAGCTTGGCTGATGGAAAAGTATATCCTTTGGAAAATTAAATTACAGTGCATGAGACATTCTGGGATTATATCTTACATTAACCTTGAAAAGTGGTTTTAATCTAATGGTAATTTTTCACTTCAGGTAATGGAACATCAAAGGTTCAATCATGGGATACTTCTTGAAAATCTGTTGGCTCTGGATTGCTGCTGGGCTGCTCAACAATGACCATTTACCAGAAAGCTTCAAAAATTATAAGAAAAAAATCAAATCTAAATCTAAAGCATATTTTTGCTCAGCTCTGCTGTTCACTTTGGCCTGCTGTAAATAAGTATGTATGTGTGATTGTCTGTTTTTCGAGGAGGTGGGGTGTGTTGACTATTAACAGTCGATGTAGGGTCCACTCTAATGAGAATGTAACCTGCTGTTGAAAAGGCCTCACATCCACACTTCATTAACTCTGCAACCCAATTACACATTGCACTCTGATAGGTCAAACCCCCACTGCCTCATTTACATAATAACTCAATGGATACTGGGATGGGAACATGCTCAAAGGGAAAGGTCTGGCTGTTACACACAACCATACGCACACACCATATCTAAGGCTAAATTACCAGTATTTTTAACTTTTTTTTTTTTAACTATAACATATTTTACCATGTTTTGTTAAAGGATTAGGTCATCCAAAAATGAAATCTGTCATCATTTACTTACTGACATGTTGTTCCAAACCTGGAATCTGCTTGTTACATTTAACTAACATTTTGAATGTAAATTAAATAAAAATTTTAATTACACAATTATTACAACACCTTAAAGGGATAGTTCAACCAAAAATGAAAATTCTATCATTAATTACTCACCCTCATATCGTCCGTCTCGTCATTCGTCTCCTTCGCGTCACCCTATAGCGACATTTTGGAGAGTATCACATACGTAAACAACGTGCGACTTATGTACGCAGATACGTTGTTTACATCCGCATACATACATTGCATACGTTGTTTACGCATGTGATACTCTCCAAAATGGCGCTAGGGTGACACGGAAGAGACGAATTGTTGAATAAAGTCATTATTTTTGTTTTCTTTGCGCACAAAAATATTCTCGTAGCTTCGTAAAATTACGGTTGAACCACTAATGTCACATGGATTATTTTAATGCTCTTCTTGCTACGTTTCTGAGCCTTGATCGTGTTAGGATCCTTGCTGTCTATGGGAGGGTCAGAGAGTTCTCGGAATTCATCAAAAATATTTGTGTTCCGAAAATGCAGTTTTATTCATGAGTTTGGAAAGTGATTTATTTATTTGAATTTCTATTGTTACATATAATTACATTTTTTTAAACATCAATTAAACTGTTTCAGAAATGTCTATTTATTAGTCAATTTGAAAAGTGATTAACATTTTTTTTCTGGAATTAATACATTAATAATGTTTAATTTTTAATATAAACTTTCTAAAAATTGCCCCTTCCATTGAAGCTCTAATTTCATTAGTGCTCAGATTCTAAAATGACAGTCAAAATGCCATTTCTGGTTTCTGTGTAGGGGATGCAGTGAAGTTTTTCAAGCAAATAATGATATAATGTCCTTCTATTTCTCATAAAAAGCTATCTTTTGGGCTTTAGAAGACTGCAACACACAAGCCACGAGAAATACACTATGAACTGTGATAATAAGGAAAAGAACTGTGTGAAGATGCTTCCGAACGAACGAACGACTGAATGAATGAATGAATACATACATACATACACAGCATAAGGGTTTAGAATGGAAATGGGAGTCAGTAAATAATGACGGAAGTTTATTTTTGAGTGAATTATGCCTTTAAATTACCAAAATAGTGAAGGTCCGTCTAGGACTGATAAAATTCTACCAATCTATTCCTTTTTAAATACTTCGACGCATTTCTGCAACATAGCCAATTTTTCCAATATAGTGTTTTCTGATTTCCATAAAGTTCATCATTTTCTGGTAATTCCATTGCTTACCGAAGTCAGAGCAGAAAACCCAAGGCAATAAATGAATCAAGCAAACAGAGAGTGAGGAAACCAGAAGGCTCAGAAGCACACTTACCTCTATGACTTGAAAGATAGCAGGCAGGAGACTGCTCTCTCTAACAAGCCTGTTGGGGGAAACACACACACAAATAAACACATTTAGCTTGTGACACACACATTTACTTCATGGCACTAGGCCCACGTTCCATCTTCATTAGTGTGACACTTGTGCATGAATTTGGGTTTTGGCACTGAACGGGACCGCTGAGGTGTGAACGCTCCATCGTGCCAAGATCAGTCAGCTGGGAAAATAACCTTTGACTAATCCAGTGACGAGTGAAAAAGAAAGAGAAAGCATGCCGCTGAAAGGATGAAAGAGTGAGAGAATGATGGAGGGAGAAAGTCAGATGGAAAGCACACAACAATGTATTAAGAATGAGAAATAGAGGACCCATGTATGCAAACCTAGTGAGCTGCCTAGCTAAAAAGCATTTTTGGAAATCACCGAACAAGATTATTAGATTATAATTAGGGCTGCACGATTAATCGCATGCGATATTTAACGC